GCTCAAATCTCACGCGGATATCAACGGCTCGCTGACACGATCTCTCGCTCGCCAGAAACGTCCATTTCGAACATTTTCTCGAACAGTTTGCTCGGCAGGGCTGCGTGGACGCCCTCGCCTATAGAGCCTCCGTGCCGGGTGACTCTCGCCTACCACCACCCTCTTTCCCCCTCGGCCACCGGCGTTGGCAGATTTATTCCTGCAGAGAAATGAGTTTTCCGCTCAGAAATGGCCGAGGTGATCGGCGGGGATCGTTCTTTTGCTCTTCCTCGGAGTCTCTGCTCTGAGCTGGCTGGGTGTGAGCTCTGAGTGAGTTCAACTCTTAGCGGGCAGTCGCCTCGGCAACCACGTAGCCCGGGTGCCCAGTCTGACACGGGGTCTGTCATGTCTACACCCTCATCGTGGTCGCCACGCTGACCAGCATCATTTCCGAAGTGAAAACCATGCCTGCCTGCCTGGTCGTTTGAACACATTTTCCCCCTCTCTTTATTTCATCTCTTTACTTCCCGCGCTTGTTATTCGCGTCTGCTCCCCCTCCCCCCTTTACCAATGCGGACAGCCCCTGGCACACCCTTTTCTCTCCCCGCTCCCTCTCCCCCTCGCTCTCTCTCTCTCTCTATCGATGCTCATTTATTCGCCGCTGAGCTTTAAATCGCGCGCCATTTCATTTCGCCGCTGCGCGCGATCGGCTGCCGATAACGGTCGGCTGGTCAGGTCGGTCTGCCGGGGATCGGGATCGGGTCCGGCGGCTCCTCTTTAGCAGTCGCATCGATTAATCATCCCCGCGGTAATATTCGATAACGACTGTGGAGCCCGGCGGAGGCTGCGGAGGCTGCGGAGTGACGCGCGGGGCGGCCGGAGGGAAAGGGCGGCGGGACATTTTATATTAAGCCCCCCCCCCTCCTCCTCCCCGCCTAGCCACCGCGGGCAAAGACAGAACCAAATTGGGGGCTGGAACAAAAGTGAGCCAGTCGCCAGGCCCATTCTTTCCATCTCTTTATGAAAAAGAGAAATGACAGGGGGAGGGGGAGGGGACGCTCGTTCTGCTGGCCTGCTCCTGGTGCTCCTTCCTCTCGATGGCCACGCGACGTCCCCGTCAGTGCAAATCTGCGATCTACACCGATATCTAAAGTATTCAATCGACATGCACCTTAGAGTTTGGGTACAGTGGTGATGTGTGAATGACTTGGTTTGGCGTTGCTTGCAGCGTGTGTGTTTGGCGTTGCCTGCATCGTGTGTGTGTTTGGCGTGCGCTGCTGCTGCTCCTCTGGGGAGAGCAGAGGGAAGCGTTTGCGTACACGCTGCTTAGGGGCTTGCTGAAAGAGCTATAGAGAGGAAAGGAGAGACTGAAAGGCGAGGATTGAACAGAAATACCCAACTGCGCGTTGCGCGTGGTTGCGGATGATTTGGCATTTCGCTGGAAAACCGGTGTTGATCGGTTTATGCCTTCCGGTACACTGTAAAATTCTTACAACGCAATTCTTTGCAGGCGCTTTGCATATTGCAAAGATTTCAGATGCTTTGTGTAGACTACGAAGCATTACTTCGCAATTACAAAGCGAAGTTTCCAATTGCGAATCAGTTGCTTTTCATTTGCGGTGCTATTGCTTTGTAATTTTTTACGACGCACTCGTTCTCTTCACAGCTCTATACAAAGCAAGATTTTCGTGGGCTTCTGACAGTTTTGGGGACGGTTTAAAAAGCGGAGGAATTTTTGTGAAGTTTGTTTAGAAGGGATCGTTGAAGAGAATACATTTTTAGATGATTTTGTACAAGTGCTTAGGAGCGTCGCTCGCAGCAATGGCTCGTGGATTACCTTGCTTCTACGTCTTGAATAAACACCGCTCCCCCCTGCCTCGCGCCGTGGCCGCGCTCTGGCCGGACAGAGCCATGGGCTGAGCCACGTGCTGAGCCATGGGCTGAGCACGTTAGCTCTGATCTCCGCCCGGTCCGGCAGTACGTAAGCCGCTTGGCTGGGGATGTGAGCATGGCTGGGCCTGCCTAGGGCTAGAGCAAGGCTCGACCTGGGGCGGGGCTGGGGCCAGGTCGGGTCGAGCGGCAGGCCTTGCTAATCTTTGCTTATAACGTTGCACGACGAAGTGATGAGCGCGACGAGGGCTACGCGGCTGGCGGAGACGGCCGCGGATCCACCCGGGGGGGGGGGGGGTAAAATCATCCCCATTTGATCTTGGGCAGCGCCTGTGAAATAGGCAAAAGGCTACAAAACTAAGCGTTTGGCATACGTCATGGTCGCGTACGCCCTCGCGGGTATGTGGTTTAAACAGCTGTGGTGGGCGAGATGGGGTGGTTGGAGGGGGCTGGGGCCGGGCTGAGGCCGGGCTGGAGCCGGGCTGGGGAGCGTCAGGACGGCCGGGCCGCTCCTAGTGTG